GCAATACCTGGCCCCAAGCCAGTGCTCAACAAACATTTGCTGAGTGGAAATACAACTTGACAATTTGTTTATGGGAAATAAATCCTAAATGGCTCTCAAGGAGACATTTTTTAAATATATTTAATTGATTATGCTATTACAGTTGTCTCATTTCCCCCCTTTACTCCCCTCTACCCTGCACACCCCCTCCCACCTGCATTCCCCCCCTTTAGTTCCTGTCCATGGGCTGTACATATAAGTTCTTTGGCTTCTACATTTCCTATACTATTCTTAGCCTCCCTCTGTCTACTTTCTACCTATCATTTATGCTTCTTATTCTCTCTACCTTTTTCCCCTCTCTCCCCCTCCCACTCCTCTGCTGATAACCCTCCATGTGATCTTCATTTCTGTGATTCTGTTCCTGTTCTAGTTGTTTGCTTAGTTCATTTTTTTTTAGGTTCAGTTGTTAATAGCTGTGAGTTTGTTGTCATTTTACTGTTCATATCTTTTATTTTCTTTTTCTTAGATAAGTCCATTTAACATTTCATATAATAAGGGTTGGGTGATGATGAACTCCTTTAACTTGACCTTATCTGGGAAGCAGTTTATCTGCCCTTCCATTCTAAATGATAGCTTTGCTGGGTAGAGTAATTTGGATATAGGTCCTTGCCTTTCATGACTTGGAATACTTCTTTCCAGCCCCTTCTTGATTGCAAGGTTTCTTTTGAGAAATCAGCTGGTGGTCTTATGGGAACTCCTTTATAGGTAACTGTCTCCTTTTCTCTTGCTGCTTTTAAGATTCTCTCCTTATCTTTAATTTTAAGTGATGTAATTATGATGTGCCTTGGTGTGTATTTCCTTGGGTCCAACTTCTTTGGCACTCTCTGAGCTTCCTGGACTTCCTGCAAGTCTATTTCCTTTGCCAGATTGGGGAAGTTCTCTTTCATTCTTTTTTCGAATAAGTTTTCAATTTCTTGCTCTTCTTCTTCTCCTTCTGGCACCCCTATAACTCAGATGTTGGAATGTTTACAGTTGTCCCGAAGGTTCCTAAGCCTCTCCTCATTTTTTATGAGTTCTTATTTCTTCATTCTGTTCTGATTGAATGTTTATTTCTTCCTTCTGCTCCAAACCGTCGATTTGAGTCCCGGTTTCCTTCCCATCGCTGTTGGTTCTATACATTTTCCTTTATTTCACTTTTCATAGCCTTCATTTTTCCTTCTAATTTGCACCCATATTCAACCAATTCTGTGAGCATCCTGATTAAGTGTTTTGAACTGTGCATCTGATAGGTTGGCTATCTCTTCTTGGCTTAGTTGTATTTTTTCTGGAGCTTTGATCTGTTCTTTTATTTGGGCCATAATTTTTTGTCTCAATGTGCCTGTTATGTGTAAGGGGAAGAGCCTTAGGTATTCATCAGGGTGGGGCAACCCACGTCATTGCGTTGTGACACTGTATGTGGGGGAGGGGTCCAAGAGGGAACAGTGCCACTTGCTCCACTCTCTGCCGGTTTTCAGTTACTTCCCTGCTACCCACAATCAAATTGGGCCCTTCTGATGCTGATTCCCCGGTGAGTGGGTTTGTGTACATTTCAGGACCCTGTGGGTCTCTCCAACAAACTCTCCTGTGAGGCTGAGAGTTTCTCCTGCTGCCTCAACCCTCATAGGTTTTTTCAGTCAGAGGTTTTGAGGCTTTATTTCTCCACACCTGAACCCTGGGTTGAGTGGTCTATCTTGCTCCCCAATTTTTCCCTCTGGTTTATCTGCAAGAGAATACGGGACCACTCTGTCTACCAGCTGCCACCTTGCCGTGAGTCCTCTCTGCCCAGCTGCCTGTCTCCACTACTTCTACCAGTCTGGATGAATGTTTCTTCTTTAACTCCTTGGTTGTCGGACTTGCACACAGTTCGATTTTCTGGCAGTTCTTGTTGCTTTTTGTTTTTAAATTTGTTGTCCTTTGGTTGTGCAAGGAGGCACAGTGAGTCTACCTATGCCTCCATCTTGGCCAGAAGTCCTCAAGGAGACATTTGTTGCTCATGTCTTTCTGTTGCTGTGATTTAGCTATTTTTACAAGATCAAAGTATCCAGATAGGAAGAGAAAGGACTACCTGATGTGGTTTACAATCACATGAAAAGTCAAAGAAGAAAGTTCATCTAACTCCATATTGTCTTTGGGCAGATGAGGAACCTAAGACCCAGAGAGGCTAAGAGACATAGGCAAGGCCATTTGGCGCAGTCCAGATTAGTGCTCTGGATGCCAAATCCTGTACTTCACCTATATACACAGAGAGGTCTGCCTGAATGCCGGACTGGTCCATGCAGCTGCCAAGAGCTCCATGTAGTGGTTGACTGATACACTGTTCAGAGTTACCTCGGCTCCCACTACCACCGCTCCCAATCTGCTTTTCCGTTGACTTCCTCATTTTACTAACAGCCACTTCACTTCTCATGCCAAAAACCTGAGTCATCCTTGAGTCCTCCATCTCCAAACTCTATATCCAGCAGACCAGCAAGTCCTCTTATTTCTGCTTATACAACTTGTCCCCAAATTAAACACTTTTCACCAACTTTGTCCAAGTTTGATCTGAGGCAGTAATGTCCTTAGTGGTCTCCCTCCCTGCTTTCTCTCTTGTCCCCTACAGGTCATTCTCAGCCCCCTGAATGATCAGTTGAAAATGGAAATCTATCCTATTAAATATTTCAGGGAAATATTACTTCTCTGCTTCATTCCCATTTCCTTACCTTCCAGTTCCCAACCAATGTTTTTCCATCTCACGAAGAGTAAAATCCATAATTTATATTACAGGTTACAAGACTTGAGATTTTCAATGTGAGTGGACATAGTGTCTCATAGGGGCACAATCTCCTTTTACTCTGCTTCAAAGTAAGAGTAGGGACAGGGGGATCACTGACATGATGCAACACATCATTTCTTACATGAATACACTTGAATCTATGCTTCCTAGAGAAAGAATTGATAGGTAAAGAATGACCAAATACAATGACTCTATCCAGTTCACACCATTATTTAGAGTACATATTATTAACTTGAATACTGAATCTATGTCAATAGATACTCTTGATATGCACTCTTAGCTCCTTGGGGATGAATGCAATGTCCATACATCCTTATACTCCCAGAGCCCAGCACAGTTTCAGAATCAAATTGGAATTCAGAACACGTCTGCTCAGAAGAGTAAGTGACTTAAGTCATGACTGATCACACAGCCTCACAACAGGGCCAAGTCAGTCACAGCTTCTTCTCCTGCTTATTCTCAGCCCACGCTGAGCTGCTTAGAAGAGACACAGAAGGAGAGGGCCGTCAACAGAAAGGAGCACATTGTGTCCAGTGCCAGGCACGGGCCAGAATGTCACTAAATGCCTCCCTCCAAAACCAGCAGGTCTAGTGAAAATCTCTGGCATTTAATCTTTGGCACCTCTCATTCTGAACCTTTCCAGATGTGACCACCACCTTTCCAATTACTACATTTCTATAGACTATTGCATTTACAAAGTACTTGACAACTGATTTGATTTGCTCTCTGGAGCAGCAATTCTGAAGGTAGTGAATACTGTTATCCTCACTGCAGATCAGAGAACTGAGTCACCAAAAAAAGGTAAACTAAGCCAAGGGACATCACACAGCATGCTAGGATAGATTTCCAACCTTTCAGATCTTGTAACTCTGTTTACTTGTTTGCTTCATTATCTTGTCCTCCCCTTACCTCCTCCATAGATACGATTGCTTCCAAAAAGTGCCTCATATCATAGTGCTTTTTAAGGTAAATGTAATTGCAATCTCCCTCTTGAGGTAGCTGGTAATACCCTGAGCCTGAAAGTCACCACAGCTCTTCAAGAGCAGGCGTTAGACCTCGTGACACCTGTCTTCCCTAATCTCTTCATCAGTGCTTCCTTTAACAAGCCGCCACCAGAGACAGTCCCTTCTCAGTGAGTGAAAAATGTTTCCGGAACTGTATTTGAGCACTCAATTTTCCTGTCAGAAAGGTAATTGTGACTGGCCAATAAACCAGTTTGAAAACTCAAATTTAAATGAGCCGAATTTAAATTTATAAGAGCCTCATTTAACATGCAATTAATTTTATGCCTATAATAAAAAGAGAAAAACCTCCGGTCTTCCTGAGGAATTAAACAGGCTGATAAGGAAATGCCGTGCCTCCTAGAAATGAGATAAAATGATTCTTGAACACTGTCATCCTTTCGGTTGTATATTATATACAATACATGCTATTTCAGAGAAGTGTTAATTTTACTGAAATTGAATAGATGTTTCCTGAGTCTTTACAGGAATGTGTCCAAATGGTTAGGGTTGAAACACAGATTATGGGTTCCAGATTCCGTTTTATGCTCTCACTCTGTCCTTTATATTACTTCTTTGGTCTTTATAGCTTCCAGTCTTTTTGTTTCTCCCCCAAAGAATGGAGAATAATGGAAATGGTAGAGCTCAACTATCATTAAGGTTCTTTGAACTTTGTTCAAATAAGTGAGATGTTGAGTGACGCCCTCATGTACTTTATTCCTATTATAATGCATTGGGGGGTTGGTAGTCACATTTCTGATTTATATTACTATTCTTATTTTTTGCTGTGCATCTCCATCCCATTATAAGCCCATTAATAATGTAATCCAACACATGACATTAATTTGCATTTTTCAAGAAGAAACTCTTAGGCTGCGTTTTATTCTAAACTTTGCTCGAGATACTGCCACACATGAGTCACTGTGCAAGATTATCACTTAAATATGCATTTTCCGGTGTGGTAGGAGTGCTAGCATCACTGAGAAAATTCTATCACTTTTCTTTGTTGGGGACAAAATCAGCCTTTGACATCGTTTTACAAAGTTTTAGGGGTCAATTAATACATCACTGTATTCAATGTGTTTTTTAAACTAATCCAATATTTTTTTTAAAAAGGGAAATTCTTAAACATAACCACACTTCAACCCTTTCTAATAGTGCTCATATCTGGACTTTCTCTTATGGTTTGTCCTGCTTCTTGGTCCCAGGGTTGAAAGGCTCGCTCCAGAGGCTGCAGCTCGAGTACGTGGACGTGGTCTTCGCGAACCGGCCGGACAGCAACACCCCCATGGAAGGTGAGTACAGAAGTGTCACAGAGGATACGGTATTGATTCTATCTTGATGACTTATTCCACTCACAGGGAGAAGTGAAATATAGTCAGCCCCATTTGACTGAATATGAAAAATAAAAACTTTTCCGGCTGATGTCTTTCAGTCTCGGTATTCACCTGCACAGCCAATACTCAGCATCCTGCATCTTCATTATTTTTTAAAGTAGTTGCAGGTATTGGAATCGTGGCTCCTGCTGGGTACAGTGCTCACTTTTTCCAGGTTCATTTCACTTCTGTGATTCCATCAACTAAAACAATAAAACTAATTGGAAGGGAGGTTTATAACCCTGCCATCGTTATTTGAAGTAAGTCATCTGAGCGGCTTCCTCTTTTATAATGGCTCCAGGTCTGATTACTCTCCAGTCTGTGGTAACAAGTGCTAGGTGGGACCATGAGCAGAGGCTTCACAGGAGCCACTGTTCAAAATGAGACTCTTCATTGCAATTTGGTTTTTGATTCTCAAGGAGCTTCAACATTTTATTTCCTTTCCATGACAACAGTTTGAAGACAATAGTTTAGGCACCTCCTGTGGAAGCTTTTAGAACATTCCTGAAACAGATTTTCTTCACTTTGTATTTATTTGTGGAACCTACCTAGGATTATTGAGAAAAAAAAAAGATAACTTGTGAGGATAAGCTAAAAAGAATGTCCAAGGCCATGGCCAGCTAGCTCAGTTGATTAGAGTGTTGTCCTGATACACCATGATTGCGGGTTCAAACCCCAGTCAGGGCACATGCAGGGAACAACCAATGAATGCATGAGTAAGTAGAACAACAATGTTTCTCTCTCTCTCTCTAAAATCAATTAAAAAAAGAAAAAGAATGCTCTAGTTAATTGAGTTTTACAGTCATGGATTATTGTTTACCCAAGGCAAATAAAAATGAAAATATTTGTGAAGAAGAGGGAAAAAAAGAATGTTCTTGTTATTTGAGGTTGACAATATGACATAGATTTATACATTTGCAAAGAATTAGGCTCGAGCAATCAACATAACATTATAGAGAAGATAAATTTGTCCTTAATGATTCAAAAAGTAGTTCAGGATATTATAATACACCAGGTTCTATAAAAATTTATTCTTGTTACTGGGCTCTAGAAGTTATAAAGGTTTTAATGATCAAAGTACATAATTGATTTTTCTACAGGTTGCTTTTCTGACCAATATATGATTTTCTCCTAGCGTTTTCTGCTATCTTGATTCTGAGTGAATTAGGAGTTTATTATAAAGCAGTATCAGTGTTGGAAATTCATAATAAGAAATTATCCATGGAAATGACATAAAACATATATTTTTATCAAAGCAAAGAATGGGTGTTTGATATGGCAGATTGTAAATGTTTTTAGTCTAAGAAGTAGTTATTATAAGGATAATATGATGTCACACTATTCTCACTGAAACATGAAAACAGAATGCTAAAGCTATCTGGGTGAGTAAAAGTGTCAAGTAAAATGCTGTTTAGCGGGGGCTGTGAAAGACTGAAGTTGCTTCCCATTTTAAAGCCTTAGCCACTCTTTTCCTTTGGAAATGTGTCCTTGGCAATTATACCATGCACAGGGTAAAAGAACATCTGGAATTTTTCAGTCATTTTTTCCTTATTTTGCCCGTCCTACTCATATCTTTAACTTCAGGGATATAATGTAGTAGTCTCTCCAACAAATAATTTTATAATTTGTTTTATGTACCTATAGAAGGAGGAAATTCTCAACTGGGAGCCAAACTATATGATATACATAAGATAATGGTGTCTGTTGTATAAACACCATAGAAATTTATTAGAAGGATGCTTCAAATTGTTTTCTTTCTTTCTTTTATTTTTTAAGAACTGCAGCATTGTCTAGCCTCTGTTGGAATTTACGGTTTCCCTTATTTCCTTGTAGAAAATTCTATGAAATGGAATAGGAAGCTTTTCTATCATGAGTCATTGTCCAGGCTCAGAAACCTAATGAAGAATTGGCACTTGTTGAGTGGGTCAAGGAGCATGGCTCTGTGGCCATCAGCCATGTCAGGCTGCAGTGCAGCCTTCTGTCCGCCACTCCCACAAGGCGCGGACCCACTCCTAGCTGGCCCGTCAGGCTCTGAGTCTTATTCCTCTAGCACAGCTTAGCAGGGACACACCACAAGCAATTTCCTCACATAGGACTTGCTCCATGTTGAAATAGCTTCCCTGTGATTTCTCCCTAACTTTCAGAAAATGCACTCAAACTTCATGTACCCATTTGTTCCAAGGTGGGCCCGATGGAAATGGCAGTTGGATACTTGTCTCTGGAAATGCATTCTCTATATTTTGTCTTTTCTACTTCTCTATACCAGTGGAAAGCACTGGTCTGGGCAATAGAGAGAAGAAGAAATCGCAACTAAGAAGAAAATAAGAAATAAGGATCGCCAGGCAGCCTTGTTTGTGTTTGCTCCTCTAAAAATGGAGAAAATGGTGTCTAAGCTGTTGCTGGGTCCCATACTGTGATTAAGACTCATTTCGGCAGTGATTTTGTGAATCACATGTGTACATACATCAGTCAAAGTTGCACAAGTACAATGGGGTCTAGCTTAGGTGGGGCCGGTAATGTTTCTAAAAATAATATAGAAAGTAAATGTTATCTATAAGCAGAATTACTCTTGAAAACCCTACAGTAATTTTTAGTACACATTATTCTGTTTAATTAATTATTCAATTAATTAATTGAATAATTAATTAATTATTCTTCTCCAAATATAGTGACAAAACTATCACTAGATACTTGTCCACTATTTTTGTAATAGCTAGAAAATTCCCAAAATCATTCACATAGTTTTCTTATTTCAGCAACTCATATTGGCAATTTTAGGCTCAATTACAACCATTTCTATCTAACATAAGTGAGGCAACAGTGGCTGGCAAGTGCGTATTGCTGAATTTTCGTACATTAACTCTGCACACATTGGCACTATACTATATGTGAGTGCCTGGGTATATTATCGTAGACCCTTAGCACTGGCAGATCCCTTTCTACTGGTTTCAGCCATCCCCTGACAGGTCCATGGAGCCACAACACAAACCAACTTATAGCTGTGCTGTAACTCCCATTTTAAACCCCGAGAGCCCAGCCCAGCTTTTGAAGGCACACTTTAAACAACTTTGGTTTAAATTTATTAAAATGCCGGTCCCATTCATTTAATTTGCACCATGAATCTACGGCCATACCACTGTGAATGCACCCAATCTTGTCTAATTTGCACCATGAAAGGATGTTAATTGGGAACATTTCTAAAATAAACTAGGATGAGTTTCATCCAGTTTAGACTTATCATATAGCAACCAACTGAGCCAGAAAAAGATTAGCAATGGCATCTTCTTCACAATGTATTGGCATCATGTATTCAATGAGTTGTTGCCTTCCCTCCTTCCTTAGAAAACCAATAGGTAAAAAGTGAGCCCTCTGAAAAGAATTCTAGGTGTGCACTCAGTGGAAAAAGGACACTTCATTCGCAGCACTGTGGAAGACCATTAGACCTTCTACAGCTGTAGGGAGATGTTCCGGACAACAGAGGGGAACTTGTGTCCTTTTTCCTCTCTCCTTGTTTACTTTTTCTGGTTCACCTAGTAGTAAATCATTTTTCCTTTCACAGCAGCTGCCACCCCATCTGTCTCTGCTACAATATCTGGCATGGATGGCCTGTTTTCCGGTCCGAGGGGAAAATCAGCCCATAGTTTTTGTCTTCTTTCTTATGCTGCTGTGTTCTTCCCAAGAGAGCCATGGACAGTTCCTCATGCTCTGTGATACTCATATTCTTAATTCCCTCATTTCTAGAAATTCTCAACGTGTATTTTAATATCTTCTCTTGAGCTCATTAGACAAGAGAAAGTTCATCCCAATGAGTCATGCCAGACAGGGATAGACAGGCAGCATTTGAGTGTCTGAGAACCTGCACTAGGAGGGGTTTTTTGGTGGGGTGAGGGGTCTTGTTTTCTGTCATTCCCAAGTGCCAGGCTAATTTCTTCATCAATTCTCTTCTCACTGCTCCAGGAAGGAAGTCATTGAGCATGATTGTAGGCAGGAAAGGAGGGTATAAACAATGTACTGAAAGAGGAAACCAATTTTAACTTATATACCTTTCTAAAAATGAAGGAAGGATGCCCAGTATTTTGTTAACCTGAGAATATGATGATTGTTAAATTAAATTTTAATTTAAAAAACACTTGGAATTGAGCTTTCTTTTATTTAGAGCATTTTTCTGAAACTAGTTAATCTCAGATATTCCCTGATTCATTAGATATTATTCCCAACCAATTACAATTCAAATTATTTATTCTTTTTCTGCTAGCAGTCTATGCAGACATAAAACAACCCAGATGTCCTACTTCAAATAAGAGAGACAAGATGAAAGTTAGCTTCATTCCCGTAACATCACCGTATCAAACAACCCATTCTTCATTGAGTTCTTTCTCTTGGTTTTTCCAGTGTTACCATGTGTACTCAGGAATCTAGGGTGTCCCATAACAGCTCAGGAAATACCAGGAAGTGGCAAATACTGAGCACCCCAATTTTTCTACATTTTTAAAATTCTAGAACACTGGGTCTAGAAATGTAGCAACAAAAATAAAATTTTCAGCATAAAAATTTAATGACCTAAAACCTAGAAATATCATCTAATCACACTGGATCATCCCTTTTGCCTTTAAGGTGTTTTTTCCTTCCCCGAATGACACCCTCAACCTGTCATAATAACAACAACAGTATCAGGAAGAAATCTCTTGTAAATAGTATATTACAGTGCTGTCTGATAGAAATATTTTGCAAACCACATATGCATTTTAAATTTTTATTAGTATGTTAAAAAGGAAACAGGTGAAACTAATTGTAAAAATATATTTTAACTTAACTCAGTATTTCAACATGTGATTTTTATAATTAATCATTATAAAAATTATTAATGAGATATTTTAGATTATTCTTTTCATAGTAACTCTTTTGAAATCTGTTGTATA